TCTCGCTTTTCTCTCCTTTCTCTCCTCGCTCTCTCTCTCATCTCTCTCTCTTCTACACTCTCTCCTCTCTCTCTCTCAACTCTCTCTCTCTACCTCTTCTCTCTCTCTTCCTCTCTCTCTCTCTCTAACTCTCTCTCTCTCTCTAACTCTCTCTCACTCTCTTCTCTCTCTCTCTCTCTCTCTCTCTCTTCTCCTCTCTCCCTCCTCTCTCTCTCTCTCTCGCTGCTCTCTCTCCTCTCTCTCTCTCTCTCTCTCATCTCCTCTCTCACTCATTCCTCTCTCTCTCTCCTCTCTCTCATCACGTCACTCCTCCTCTCTCGCTCCTCTTCTCACCGTCCTCTCTCTCTCCTCCTCTCTCCTCCTCTCTCGCTCTCGGTCTCTCCTCTCTCTCCTCTCTCCTCCTCTCTCTCCTTCCTCTCTCCTCTCTCTCTCTACCTCGTCTCTCACTCCTCCTCTCTCTCTCTCTCTCTCTCTCCTCTCTCTCGCTCTACTCCTCCTCGCTCTACTCTCCTCTCTCTCCTCTCTCTCATCCTCTCTCCTCTCCTCAATCCTCTCTCTCCTCTCTCCTCCTCTCTCTCCTCTCTCTCTCTCTCCCTCTCTCTCTCTCCTCTCTTCTTCCTCTCCTCATCCTCTCTCTCTCACTCCTCTCCTCTCGTCCTCTCTCTCTCCTTCCTCTCTCTCCTCTCTCTCCTTCTCATCTCCTCATCCTCTCTCTTCTCTCGTCCTCTCTCTCATCTCATCCTCTCTCCCTCAACAGTGCTCTAAAGCATAAATACTAACATAGTTAACTTTTTTTAGAAACCAAACTCCTTTGCTTGGGCATCATTGTCCATATTTGTAACCTTCAGTTTTGTCTTCATCCAACATTTGAACAGTAACACACAGTACTCCTTTGCAAATGGCAGAGAGAATGACCTTTCCTCTTAACATAACTAGTGGCTGGGATGTGTTTAGGCCACTTGATATGATTCTGATGGACAGAGGTAAAGTTATAGGAAGAAGCGCAGCACACAGTGGATCATTCAAGAAGTCCTTAAAACAATGATATCTATGATAATACAAAGATAACTTCACATAGGAGAGGAGCTTATGATGATCCAGTCTGACTTGGACCATTTAAAGGATTCACTAACAGGAAGGTAAGGGAGCCAGCATATATAGGAGAGGGAGATAGGGATGGGACAAGGAGAGGAAGAAAAACAAGTAACTGGAGAAGTAGTGGTAGAACATACCACCAAAGCAGCTATTGAAGCTGAGAACTAATGCAATGAGTCTCTGTTTTGGGGGATTCTTTTCTGATTTAATTTCTTCTAATCTGAATGACTGGGAATACCTAATTAAAGAGGACTAGTATGGGGTGAAAGTTGTCATTTTTTTTTTTTGTCAGTGATATGGTTCTTTTGGGAGATTTGGAAGAAAAATTGCAAAGTTTGGTAAGTGAATTTGGAAAGGTATGTAAAAGGAAGTTACAGGTAAACATAACAAAGAGTAAGGTGATGTAAAAAATAAAAAAAAAATATATAGGCAATGAGAAATTGGATATAAGCTTGAAAGGAAGGAAGGTGTATAGAGGAAGTAAATATGTTCAGATATTAGGGAGTAAACTTGCCTGCAGATGGTTGGTTCTATGAAAGATGAGGCAAACCATAGAATTGAGGAGGGAAAGGTGGGTGGTGCATTGAAGGCATCTGTGGAGACACAGAATTTTATCCATGAAGAGAAAAAAGGGAATGTTCTAGAGTATAGTGGTACCGCCACTGTTGTATGCTTTGAGTGTTGCAGCGAGGAGGCTGAAGGCAGTAGATATGTTGCGATTGAAGGCAATGTTTTGTGTTAATATTATGCCAAAAATTTGGAGTTTGGAAATTAGGAGAAGGTGCAGAATTACCAAAAGTATATTTCAGAGGGCTAAAGAGGGGGTTGTTGAGGTAGTTTTGACATTCATAGAGGATGGAAAATAATAGGAAGACGAGTAGGGTGTATAAATCTTTGATGGAGAGAAGGAGGGGTAGGGGTTGTCCTAGAAAAGGTTCATGGGAAAAGGGTGAAAGATATTTTTAATGCTAGGTGCTTGGGCATCCAATAGACTTGTGTGAGCATATTATGTATGGGTGGAGGCAAGTGGGTTTCCTGATTTGAGCTGTAATGTTGACACACCTCTGGCAAGACAGTGATAGTGAGTGATGATGAAAGTGTGTCTTCTTTTTTCGAGTCTCCCTACTTTGGTAGGAGACAGTCAGTTTGTTAAAAATAAAAGAAAAAGCTTATGATTTGATTTTTGGTGCTAGAATTGTAGATTTTTTGAGCCCCTTAAACATTGCTAATACATGATTATAGTTTGAGGGCATTTAGTTGAGAGGTATAGAATTATATTTGCATTTATTAGCTCATATAAGCAATACCTCACAATATATTTCCTGAACTCTGTGTATTTACAATATTTTTCATAATGTATTTGTCAAATATATTAGCTATAATATGATAATGTTTGTGACTACAGATTTATTGAAAAGAGTTTGGAAGAGTTAGATGAGGAAGTGGAGTATGACATGGATGAAGAAGATCGTGCTTGGCTGCAGCTGATGAATGACAAAAGGGCTGTAGATGAACTTCCACCTGTGCAAATGGAAACTTTCGAATTGCTTATGGACCGATTAGAGAAGGAGTCATTTTTTCAGGTATAGTGCATTAAAGACTTTTTTTTTTGAGCATAAAGTATTGTGTGTGTGTACACACACACCACACGCCACACACACGCCACACACACACGCCACACACACACGCCACACACACACGCCACACACACACACCCCAAAACACACACACCACACACACACGCCACACACACACACCACACGCCACACACCGCCACACACACACGCCACATACACACGCCACACACACACGCCACACACACACACCACACACACACGCCACACACACACGCCACACACACACGCCACACACACACGCCACACAACACGCCACACACACACGCCACACACACACGCCACACACACACGCCACACACACACGCCACACACACACGCCACCACACAGCCACACACACACGCCACACACACACGCCACACACCCCACGCCACACACACACGCCACACACACACCGCCACACACACAGCCACACACACACGCCACACACACCCCCGCCACACACACACGCCACACCACACACCCACACACACACGCCCCACACACAGCCACACACACACCCACACACACACCCACACACACACGCCACCACACACACCCACACACACACACACACACACCACACAAAACACCCACACACACACCCACACACACACCCACACACACACCCACACCACACCCACAAAACACACCCACACACACCCCCCACACACACCCCGCACACACACACACCCACACACACACCCACACACACACACCAAAACACACACCCCACACACACACACCACACACCAAAACACCACACACACCACACCACACACCACACACACACACCACCCCAAAACACACCACACACCCACACCACTCCACACCACCACACACACCCCCACACACACCACCACACACCACAAAACACCACACCCCACACACCACACACAAAACACCACACACACAACCACACACACACCAACACACCCCACACACACACACACCACCACACCCCAAAACCCCACCACACCCCCACACACACAACACCACCACACCCACACACACCCCCACACACACCACACACACCCCACAACACCCCCAAAACCCCACACCACACACCCACCCCCACACAACCCACACACACACCCCCCCACACCACAACACCCACCCCACAACACACACCCCCACACAACCACACACACACACCCACACACCACACACACACCCACACACACCCAAAACCACCACACCCACACCCACCACACACCACACACACACCATCACACACCCCACCACACCACCCCCACACACCACAACACACCCACACACACACCACACACACCCCAACACACACCCCCAACACCACACACCCCACACACCACACACACCACACACACCCCACACCACCACACCCACACACCACCACAACACACAACCCACACACACACCACACACACACACCAACACACACACACCACACACACCCCAACACACCCCCCCAACCACCCACAACACCCCCACACACACCACACAAAACAACCACACACACACCCCCACACACCACCCACACCCACACACCCCCAACACCAAAAACAAAAAAACAAACCAACAAACCCCAAAAAAACACCAAAACACACCCCACAAACCCACCCCCAAACACCATACCACACCCACACACAAACCCCAAAACAACACCCACCAAAAACCCCCCAAAAACCCCCCCCCCCCCCCCCCCCCCCCCCCCCCACCCACACACCACCACCACACACCCCACACACACACACAAAACACACCCCACACACCACACACACAACACCCTGCCTCAGTGGTACAGCCCCTTTGTTGAAAAAAAAAAATTATTAATGGTACATTTACATTTTAATTATTAGCAATGGAATATGAAACAAGTGATTTTAAATCATTTACCAAACTGAGGCAGGCAGGACTTGACCCCAGAACCTTTCCCGCCTCCCGAGAAGCACAATGACGCATTGTTTTACCACTTGGCCAGCGATCCTAAAAAGGATCGTGGTCAAGTGGTAAGCGATGTATACTTTTGCGTCTCTGGATTCGGTATAAGGTTCATAGGGTCGGGTTGGCCTGCCACAGTTTGGAAAATGAATAATAATTACGTAATGTAATAATAAAAATTATTTAATACATATTACTACGATTAGTAGGTTGGTAGCAGCAACCGCCCAGGAGATGTACGGTCCTGCAAGTGGTGTAAAACAAAAGCCTGTAATTGTTTTACATGATGGTAGGTTTGCGGGTGTCTTTTGTCTGTCTCATAAATATGAAAGATTACGGTACATTTTGTTACTTCTTTCACTTGGGTCCACTACTCATACGGTACAACATATATATACACACCCTCGGTTTTTTTTCTATTTTCTTTCTAATTCTTGTTCTTGTTTATTTCCTCTTATCTCCAGGGAAGTGGAAAATTTTCCTTGTGGCCATGCATATCGTAAGATGCACAAAATCCCGGGGGAGCAAGGGGCTAGTAATCCCACTCCTGTAATTTTTACAAATTTTTAAAAGGAGAAGCTTTAGTTTTTTCTTTGGCCACCCCATCCAGTGGGATACGGCTGGTGCTTGAAAGAAGAATTTACTACTACAATAAATAATACAAAATTAATTATAATGATCTGGTACAAGTGAGTTTGAGAACACCACCATAGATGGTATTCGTGTTTCAATTCAATTAAATTTAATTCAAAGTTTATTTCTATAAGGTTTACAATGGGTTTACAGAATTTGGTTATTGTGCGGTTTACTGTGTAAATAATAATTTACAGAGTTCCACTGAACACCTAGCTGGCTGGCATATCGGGCAGATTTATATTAAATCAAATTTAAAATTTTTAAAAAAATTATGAAAACAACACTCATTGCTTGTGCTTCGTTGGTGGGGGAGATAATTTTCTGATTGCTTGAAATTTGTGCGTTTTTTTTACAGAATTTCTTGTTTCTAACCGGGGTCCTAAGAAGAAAGTGAAAAAGGAAAATGCTGAGAAAAAAAAGGGGATGATTTCCATGGAATAAAGCAAAAAATCATTGTAAATAAAAGCTAAGGTTAGCATTAAGAGGTAGCATTAAGATGTGGCATTAAAGTGTGGCTTTAAAGGGTTTGGGGGCAATTAAGATGTGGCAATTAAGAGTGTGGCAATTAAGAGTGTGGCAATTAAGAGTGTGGCAATTAAGAGTGTGGCAATTAAGAGTGTGGCAATTAAGAGTGTGGCAATTAAAGTGGGCAATTTAAAGAGTGTGGAAATTAAGAGTGGGAAAATTAAAAGAGGTGGAAATTAAGAGTGGGGCAATTAAGAGTGGGGCAATTAAAGATGTGGAAATTAAGAGTGTGGAAATTAAGAGTGGGCCAAAAAGAGTGTGGCAATTAAAGATGTGGCAAAAAAGAGTGTGGCAATTAAAGTGGGGCCCCAATTAAGAGTGTGGCAATAAGGTGTGGAAAATTAAAGTGTGGAATTAAGGTGTGGCAATTAAGATGGGGCAATTAAGAGTGGGAAATTTAAGAGTGTGGCAATTAAGAGTTGGAAATTTAAAGAGTGGGGAAATTTAAAGAGTGTGGAAATTTTAAGGTGTGGCAATTAAGAGTGTGGAAATTTAAAGGGTGTGGCAATTAAATGGGGCAATTAAGAGTGTGGCTTTTTAAAGTGGGCAATTAAAGAGTTGGGGAAATTAAAAGGGTGTGGAAATTTAAGAGTGTGGCAATTAAGGTGGGGAAATTTAAAAGGTGTGGCAATTAGAGTGGGCAATTTAAAGGGTGTGGAAATTTAAAGAGTGTGGCAATTAAAGAGGGGGAAATTAAGAGTGTGCAATTAAGAGTGTGGCAATTAAGAGTGGGAATTGAGTGTGGCAATTAAAGTGTGGCAATTAAGGTGTGGAAATTTAAGAGTGTGGAATTTAAAGGGTGTGGAAAATTAAAGGGTTTTGGCAATTAAGAGTGTGGCAATTAAAGAGCGTGGCAATTAAGAGCGTGGCAATTAAGAGCGTGGCAATTAAGAGCGTAGCAATTAAGCGATAGAAAAAGGACGAAAAAAAATAAAACTCCTGACATCATTCCCTGGCCCAGCATTCTTCTCCCTGTCAACCTTCCCCAGCATCTCTTCTCCAAGGAAAAATGCTGTATTATTATTATTTATTATGTATTATTATTATTGTTTTCCTTATGAAACTACATAGTGATCTAATGGAGTTTGCCTTATAAACACTTCATTTTCTGTTATAATAAAAGCATGGGAAGGCATGTAGTCAGGAGCAGGAACAATAGCCGCTGTGCCGCCGCCTCCACACCATACTAAAATAGTAATGACATATTTCATTCATTTAGTGTATGTATCATGTTTCTATGTTATTAATATTGTTTATTATGTCTTATTAGATAAATAAGCTGTGGAGTTGATATTAGGGAAATATTCAAGTATTTTGTCATGCCTGGAATTCCACCGGAACTGATGATTATATTTCAATTAATTTAAATGAGGAAAATTGACATTACAAATGAGCAAATCCAGATATGAGCAATGTCACGGAACGGATTAAACTTGTAAGTAGAGGTTCCACTGTTTTTTTATTTTTTTCCCAAAGGGGTAATAATGAAATGTTAATTTTTGCTGTGGGGCTAGTAAGATAATGCAGTAGAAAAAATATTAAAATGACCCAGGATGCGGGGCACATTATTTGATGGTGCTAAACTTTTAAATAATCTTTTGTTTCCACCCCCCCCAAGTTTTTGGGTAGGGATTCTGGTGTACCCATTGTGAAGATGCTTTTGCTGTTTTTGTATGGAGGGAGAATCCCCAAAAACAGAAATGAAATACTTTTTGTGAATGTGCAACTTGCAGTTCATGGGGGGACAAAGTTGGTGGATACAAAAAATTTTATTTGCCTAGTATTGTAACAACCCCACCCATGCATGTATTTGTAAAGTGTGTATGCATCATATGTACATAAATACAAAAAAATGAATTATACATGTGTGACATCCTTTAAGGTTTGA